GGGGCAGGAGAAGGTGCTTTATGTTACTAATGGGGGGGTTTTTGATGAGGATTTTGTGTTGTTTGGAGGGGGGGTCGTGGGGGTTGGTATTAAATAGTTTGTATAGGCGGGGAGGAGATTTGGTAGGATCAAAAGGGGTATAGGTGTATAGTATTTACTTTTATCTCAAAGACTCGAGCTTACCATGAATTCCACCAATACCAACATCAATACCAATACCAAGAACACTCAAACCCAAAGCCTCCAAACTTTAGCCTTTAGCCTTGAATGTCATACGTAGCGCCGTGGGGAATATAGCAGACTCAAAAGAAGGAGAATCAAGAATAATAACTAAAGGTATCGCTAACATCCAATGCAATTCAACCCAGCCTAATAAACCCAACAAACCAAGTCCCCCATCAACTCCAACCCTCGAACGCCAACCATAACCATACCTCCCATGTCTTTTCCTCATATTTAGTTCCGGTGCCTTGCCTTACCTTAGCACCCACACAACTAAGCAATCCCAGGAATACAATACCGCAAGAATAGTGATCTACCCAAGTAAAGGCTCGCTCGCTCACTCGCTTTGGACTCAGAAAGTCTTGTTGCTCCTCTGCCTTGCTTTTCCTAATCCATGATTCCAATCGAAAATAACCGATTAGAGGGGGTTATCATAACCCAAGCATAATCTTCGTGACCATCGCGACAAGCAGGATGAACACCCCCGCAATGGCGCGATCAAGCCACATCGGGACACCATCGGAATTCCTTCCTCTTTGTGCAAGATTTTGGGAAGCTGGTGCGAGTGTAGTTCTCTGTGGATTCGATGAGGACGCTGTGCCAGTAGGTTGGGGAACAGTTTGCCCCGATCTGGCGGGAGGATAGGGAGTTGAGATTGTGTTTCCGTTGGGGTTGGTATTTGAATTCAAAGGGGGAGTAGTAGAGGACGGCGTCTCCGTCGCAGTCTGCACAAACCCCTCCGCGAGCTCAGCATCCGTCTCTACATCCTTGCTCCCCTTCCCCTCTTCCTTCTTCCCCATCTCATCCTTAAATCCCATCTTCAGCTCCTTCGGAATCTCCACCTCCCCCTTCTTCTGCCCCTTCGCCTCCAACTCTCTCGCAGCCTCCTCACACTCCCTCAAAATCTCACCATTAGTCCTCCCACACCCCCCACACTTCCACGCCCCCGTCCCCTCACTAATGCCCCGCCTCTCCTTCTCCGGAACCTCCAATCCCCCAAGCTGCCCCTTCGCGTCCGTCTCCATGAAACTCCTCAGCGCCACGAGTGCCGTCCGGATGCCCCAAGCCGGCTGCCACGTCTCCTCATGGTGTCCGGAGATACTGAGACAGATCTCGCGGTTGACCTCGAACCTGCCGGATGGGGTGAGGAAACGGAAGGATGGGGGACGCAGAGGGTAGGTAGGTGGGAGGATGATGCGACCGTGGTAGATGCCTTTTTCGTATGCTGAAGAGGGGGGCCCACGGAGGGTAAAGTGCCACTCGAAGATGTTGTCTTCGGAAGCGGGGGAGGCGTGATAATCGGGAGAGGGGGCTTGCGCTAGTTCTTGGGCTTCTTTTACTATTCGAGATATGTTAGTTCATTCGTTCTCTTGTTTTCATTCCGGGACGCGGAACATACGGATTCTTTTCATGGTGGGGGATTTGGAGTTGAATTTGGGTGTTGCCATTGCTGCGTTGCAATTGGGAGTCTCGGAACGATTGGAATGATACTGCTGCGCACTGTGCTAAGAGATGTCGACGCAGATGCGGTTGTAGTAAAGACGGGTGTTGGGAATAATTGAGAAAGTGGTCGGATGAAGTACTGGGAGGAAATTGATCAGACGTCCGAAGGGCTGATCCTCATGCGAGGTATGTAGATAACACCTTGTTACACAACGCAATCGCCCCGATTCGGACGGATAAGGATTCACGCACGTGTCGTTTTCTCACGTGGGAGTTTACTGAGTTCAGCATAATTGAATTGACTTTAACAAGCCATAAAAGTTCAATCAAACTCTCACAATTGGAGGTATGAATAAAGTTCGTTGAATGATACAAGTAAACGCTAAATACGAAAAAATCTATTCATCGGTATCATGCCAAGTATCCAAAAATCCAACCATCCCCAAAAAACGCCATTTAGAATAAATGTCATCTACATAGACCCTCAATCCACCCCTCCATCATCGACCCAAGCCTTCGACGAGTCATCCTTCTGTCTCGCAAGTGTATTACCAAGGATAGTATTCGTAACCACACCAACACGTTGGGGCCAGCCAGCAGCTGCCTTGTGGTCCAAAACACGTTCTTCGACTTCTTCCTCATCACTGCTGATGTCGTCGAACTGAGAAGGCTTCTTACGACGAGGTTGTAGCGTTTGCATAGAACCATCCTCGGGCCCAATGCCACCATTATCTGTATAGGCTTCAGGCGTTCGTCCAAGTATTCGGTCTGCTTTAGACTGTGGTCGGGTAGGATATGAAGTCACATAGTGTCTTCCGGCTCCTGGAGTCTTGCGGGTTATTGGCGATGGTGGATCACCCCAACCAGCTGCATGTTCACGAGCTCGTTGTGCTTCTCTTTCGCTTGCGATTCTTTCCCGCGCCTCTAACCATTTGGGACTGGGTTCCCAATTCCATCCATCTCCAGTCGTGGTCATGATGGGGAAAAACCACAGAGCCTTTCTTCTCCCAAATAGATGGAGGAGGTTATTTCTCCAGCCAAGATCAAAAGCGCTTGGCAACTTGTCCGCATCCTGCTCATCGAGGTACTCTTCATATCTTTCGCGAGCTCGTCGTCTTTCGTAAGCATCGTATTGTTGGCGTGTAGATTCATTTGGCTGCTGGCCAGGCTCGGGTCTTGGAAGCTGATTATATGGAGTGCCCCCAATATCCGACAACGGCTGCCCATAACCTGCACCAGCATCTCCATTGCCATGCTGCTGTGGTATATGTTGATGGCGCAAAGATTTTTTCAATGGCGAAAGATATCTCGTCTTCTCCAAACATTCAATTGTCGTCTGTCCTCTTGATGCGAGGAGAATATGCCACCCTGTAAATCCCGCTAGCACAATCCCAATGATTCCCGATATCACGGCCAGCATAACGTAGTTGACTGGCATCAATGAATCCGAGTACTGTCCCTCGTTTAATATCTCGCTCCATACCCAAGTTGCCGACACGCCGAAACACAGAAAGCAAAAGAGAGTTGTATATATAAGGAATAAGAGAAAGGGTTTGTAGTTCCGCAGTCCCACGCAAGTCGCCAGCCATGGACAATGGTGATCCATCTTCAATACGCAGGTTCGACAGGTGGAACAGTGGTGGGCTCGATCGGGTTTTCGGGCCTGGCATTTCTTACAGTATCGCATCTCTCCATTCGACTTGACGGTGAAATTGGTCCCTACCGGCTCTGCTTGCATCGGCAGAGAGCTGTACCCCGTATTTCCCTTTGTAGTTGTCCCCGGACTCGTGAATACCGCCGTCGTATAGGACCAGTTGAGCAGTGCCCATATCGCAATCCCCAGAAACGACGTGCCCTTCCCTGCAGGATTGTCAGACACTCGATGATCCTCGGAGCCTCGCGGACTCAAAGAACAACATACCTATCCACACGCTTTGGACCGGCAGAAATCCAATACTGGATTCTACCCACACGGCCCAAGTGGTGATGCTATACACGAATGCGAGAGGGAAATAGGTGGCCCCCAGACAGCAGTAGCGTTCACATTTCCGGGCCCAGCGACGAGGCATTCTGGTAGGGGATAGGGGTGAGTTGGATCGTGGAGTTGCGAGAGTCGCCATTACTTCAGGATTATTGGGTGTAAACCATACTATGATCGATAAGAAGAGGAAATGAGTAAATTATTTCAAGAACGAGGGGGAATGAAGGGCTCAGATTGGGGTTGGAGTTGTAGTTGTACTAGTATTTGCTGACTGAACTCGCTGAGGATGATGATCCTGGTAGACTGAACTGAGGTGGCAGGGGTCGGCCCCAGGCTGCAGATGGTGGATTCTGAGGCGGATCCGCTACCTGTACGAGTATGCCCCGGACGGGAGGCACAACGGGAACTTGCTGCTGGTTGGCTTAGAATAGATTTGAAGAACCTCCCTCCACCACACCAAAGGACAATTGACTCGATCGTTCAATATAAAGCTGCACAATCAGGGCAGCAGGACAAAATATCGCTCACGTGATGAATACTGGAAAGCAGCTGCACCAAATCCTCCATTCTCATTTGCATTGTTTCTATATTTAGCTGCCGAGCGACCGTTAATCGCTAAGGATCTTGGCCAAACCAAGCGAAGCTATTAGCAAAGCGAAACAGCCACAAGAAGAAAAGAACCTATGAATGCTAGTAAGAAAGAGTTGCATTGCTTCATTTCCCATTAAACTCCAACTCTTCAATATTTACTGACTAATATAGTTTGAACCAAACATCCAACATTAAAACTTTCACTCAGCTATGTGCACTCTGGTGCACTGATAGAGAGGGGCATCTTAAATGCTAACATGACCGATTGAAAAGCGACTCTATCTGCGGAGCTATATAGAATTTCTGATGCTGCAAAGAACATAGTAGCTTACGAGTCAAGCTAGTACGATGCGTAGCTTTTCATAAACTGGAGGTTTTTGAAAGTCAAGGGTTAGAGTACGCTTAAGGTAGAGAACTTAATCTCTCTTTCCTAATAAACATAGAGTCCTTTCGTGGTATACACGCGCCATCAATCGCAAGAGCTCAAGAATCAAGTTCAGTCTACATATTACCACCCCCTAGATCATTTCCAAGAGACCTATTGTCTCAAAGAAGGGGGTTGAGGTTTGTAGCATATTTGCTTGGTGACATTGCTTAGTAGGAAACTAAGATTCATGAAGTTTTTACAGATCATTGTAGTATACCTTGAGCTATCTTTCGTACATCAGTAATGTATTACACATAGCACCTAATAGTTGCTCTTCTTTTCTTGGCCTTCATGGTTTTCTTTGGGAGGGCAAGGGGGGAGGGGAGATTTCTGAAAGTGCGAAATTGTTAAAATATAAAGGAGTTAAATTTATGTTTCGGTCTGTTTTCAGCTCTTTTCAGGGGCACAAACAGAGTTCTACTGTACAATGTTCATCCCTTATCTAATAGCTATCTATTGGCGTTTCTTTTCAGTCCAGTCATATGTGATTCATAAGTCAATAAGAGTTACTACGCATATAGATGACTCTCCAAGACTTCATGAAAACTGGATGCCAAGCGAAGTTGCCAACCACACCATTCAGGCAACAAATCAAAGATTCTCGCTTAGCTTTACTATCACTCTAGTTCGTCCCTTCCTCATTTGGCAATCGCTGGCTCCTTCCACCACTTTAGCCGTTCTTCGTCCGTCAAAGTATGACCGATTTCCGATACGCTAATTTAGCGCGTCCATCAATTTTACTTTCTGTAATTTTGACATCCACGACACCCTCCCCCTCCCCACATCAAGGTTGTCAACAACCCACCGACCGATCTCCGCATTGAGGACCATAATAAGATCACGCAGTGCACATAACCATTGCGCAACTGCGCATTCTGTCCTAAAGATCAGCAAGTCTTCTACAACTCTCGTTGATCATGGCCGACCACAACGCTGAGCCTGATGGCTGGTCCTCATTTCCGCAAGACCAACATATGTCTATGGATAATGAGGCATCCTGGTGCGTTCCCTGCAAACTGCAGTTCAAGTCCTTTGAGCTGCTGCGACAACACAAGATGAGTGATGCTGTTCACAAAAGATTGTACTGCGCCAAATGTGACAAAGACTTCCAAACTGAAGATGGATGCGATAACCATCATATCAAGGTTCGTTCCTCTCCCCTATCAATTGCTTGCTCATACAGCCTTCACTTTCACCCATCCAAATCTAACTGCAAATAGTTGCATCCTGCTGAACAAAACTTGGACTGCCCAAAATGTGGAACAAACTTCACTCGTCTGGGTGCTCTCATGCACCATCTTGAAAGTAAACTTTGCCCTGGTGCAGGTGACGTCAAGTTGGAGAAGCGTGTTTACGAGAAGGGTGTTTGGTACAACAACTCCAAGAACATGATGGCTCGCGCTGAGTATGGGAAAACCGCTGGCGACTTTACCCTTGACGATATACCCATGGTCTCCAGCCAAGACAGTAAGTGCCTCACAACGTTGTTAGGTTTGCCTTGGACTAATTAGTGAAAGCTGCTCAAGAATCTCATGGAGGGGTTTCCCTGGGCCCTCAATATATCCGAAATTCGCACATTGGTCGTCCTATGCAATCAATGCAATCACTCGCCCTACAATCCTTCTTGAAATCAGAGACACCCTCAATCCGTGGACAACCACCTGCAAAATCTTCAAGTCGCGGACAAGCACCAAGAACATTCTCAAGTCATGGACAAGTACCTGGACCTTCAGCCAACGCTGGTCGGACTTTCAATTCAAATACACGTGCCGTTTTTGACAACGATGATTTGATTAGCATGCACGATGAGCCACTCAACACAACCCAGCCTTTGGGCACCCAACCAATGGCCTCTTCTACTCAACGTTCCACGCCTGCTTTGTACAACACTAACTCCTCGTTCACTGAGAATTTTGATTACATGCGTTGGGATGACATTCCTGGCCCTGATGAAGTGATTTCTGGCCCTAAGCTCCGCACTGCTCCTGCCACTACCACTCCAAAAACATTGTTTGGCAAAGAGAACGTAAGAGATGCTGGTAAACCAGGCCCAGTCTTGACGGATGTTTCTAGTACACCTGTGGATGAGGAACAACTGATCAAAGGAATACTTGAATCCGATGTAATCAAGAATAGGTGGCATACAACTGGTCTCTCCGAGTCACCCGCTGAGTACATTCAAAAGATGAAGGTGGGTTTTGAGAGACGCCAGGCCCAACGGTCGTGGGACAAGTCTACTTCCTGGGACAAGTCAACTTCTATCTCATCTTCAACCGCCGCTATGACAACTGCTCAATCTGCCAAGGACTCCTTTCCCAAACCCGCCGATGCCAATACTCCTTCTCAGGCGCCTTCTGTCAAATCCGCTGCTTCTACTGGCCTTGCTTCTTTCAAATGGGCTCCACACAGTTATGCCGCTCCCGGACAGGCCCCTACAGCACCCAAACCAGCACCACACCCCTTTGACCCAAAGAATCCAACCTTCAATATCAAGTCGTACTATAACCCCTACCTCGAAAAATACAAATGTCCCCACAGAGCATGCACGTAAGTCTCCATCGTCACCAGTCTGCTTGGTCATGAACACTAATCCATAATACAGAAAGAGTTGCGAAACTGAGGGCGCTTTTATTCAACATTTGCTAAGTTCGGCTCACTGCAAGAACTATCAATGTAAGCGGTGCTTGACTCATTTCGCTACTCTCTCCGCTCTTACCCAACATAGCGAGGCACAATCCACAAAATGCATTGTCCGTAAGACCGACTTCTACTCGGGTGTGGTTGATGAGTTGACTGGTGGTATCGCCGCTCCCATTGGTTTGCTTCGTGACAGTACCGTCCGTTATGCTGTTAACAACATCGGTGACCCAGAGACCTTCTCGGATAGAATGTTGGCTCAACATAAGAAGCATCGGGAGGAGCGAGCTAAGGCCAAAGAGACTAAGGCTGCTTCGGGTTGGGATTATGAAGCTGAGTTCTAAATCTGGCATATTAGTGGCATTGTTTCTTGTGACGACGTTTGTGAGCGATATTGCGGCTATGTTATGCAGGGTCTTCAGCGGCTCAATTTGAGCTTTTTTACGGGTGGGGAGTTAACTTCTCTGTGCGTTGAAATGCTTTCCATATGACAGTGCGTCGAAGGAAAGGTTGAATTTTATTTTTGAGATGTGGTTAGTTAGTTCTTTGCTATCTTTGATGGGGAGGCAGTAGTAGCTTTCAACAGATGAAAAATTGAGATTGTTTTCACGATAATGTATTAGATGATTTGTATGGTTCTGCTATAGTGTGATTGTTGATAGCTCTAATTATGTAATAACTCGTAAGCCTAAGTGTCTTTCTCCCTCGTGCCGTATAAGTTACCGTTAACGAAACAGTTCGTATCCTATTTAACATATTTAGATCGCTACACCACGAGTATTATACTTTTACGTGAGATTATTCAATCCTAGAGGAAGTTTATACAGGTTTCTATGAAATATATACTATAGTATATATAAAATCGCAAAGTTATTATACCAGAGTTCTAGAAGAAGAGAAATCTTTATCTTGATATTATTAGATTAATAAAACGAGGGTTATTTTAATTCTTTTGTAGTGTTTTTTATAGGTTTATATAAGTATTTTGATACGTGGGATTTTTGGGATAATAGTATTCTAAGAAAGAGAGAGAGGGGTAGAAGGTAGTAACTATGTATTTTGCTAATATTCTTTTGTATATATAATAGAGGATACCTAAAGTGAACTATACCTAAACCGACATTTCGACCTTAGTTAGAGAACCTTTTAGATTAGCGGTATATACTATATTTATATAGTAAACGACAAAAATACTACCCTTTTATAATAAAACTACTACTTATAATATAGATATTGCTTTACTAATTTTTACTAGTAAACTAGTAACGTAGTATATAGGCGGTATCTTTATCGTGAAAATAGAAGTAGTTTTATTAGTAAAAAGATCTTACTTCTTTATTAGATTCTATAAGTAAGATACCTAAAAATTAATAAATAAAGTAAATTGTCTAACTGTAACGAATACTCAAACTGGCTAACTAAACTTGGCTGGGTGTTCGCTGGTTGGTATGCTATGATAAGAAGAAGACTATCGGGTTGTTCACTTGGAAGTGAACTCGTTACTTGTATCAAAGATGTCAAACTAATATGATAAGATTGATAACTAAGTTGAGCACGAAGCTCCTATCTAATGGCAGACGTGCCAGTCTTATATAGAACCTTCGTGTTCCTGAAGTCGACAATGTCGACTGTCGACATAGTCGATAATCGACTTCTCGACCAGGCGAGAAGTCGACCTGTATATATCACGTGACTTATATACAAAGAAATTCCTGGATCGCTTAACTAACCTAAGCGATCCCTTTTTGCTATAAGAGCCATGATGTGTTTGTCCTGTCAGAACCCCGTCTGGACTAACTCCTCACGTGCTAGCACGTGATTTGTGACACTTATTACTTTTAAAGTACTTTTATATTTATTTTCTAAGGAAATTTACATAGTAAGAATTTAAAGTAAGCTTAGTAGTTTTTATTTTATATATATTTTTCTTTAAATAGAATTATTCTAAAATTATTATTTAATTAAAATAGTTCTATAACTATTTTGGAATAATTACTACTTATTACTTTTAATTACCCTTAGTATACTTATTCAATTATCTTACTTATACTAGAATATACTAGAGATTTAGTATAATAGACTTTTATAAAGTTAGTGTGACGGAGCTGGATTTCATTTGACAGGATTTCATTCGCTTGGCCAAGCACGTGACGAGACTTGGCATTGGAACAACTTAAATAACTTCGCTCCTTTCAGATTCTCTTCTCTCTTTAGTTTGATTTCTTCGTACCTACGGTTTTAGTTCTAGCAATTGATTCAAAAGCTGTATACACTTTATCCTTTGTTGGCATCCGTGACAATTTAGGTAAATAGATTATAAATATTTAGCGTAGGAGTATTAGTTTTATATAAAAATTAGTATATATAGTATTAGAGAGCTAAAAAGGTATAATTAGGGGGCGATTTTAGTTAGGCGGTTTACTAGGGTAGGCGGGTGTCCCGGGCGTATAAGTAACTATATATATACCTAGAGTAGGTTTTAGAACGGGTTTAGAACACTCCCAGGACACTCTCGAAACGCTCTCGGGATAGTTCTAGAACGCTTTTATATTTAGGAAACTATTCTTAATAATCTTATTAATATAACTATCTAATATTTTAAAACTATCTTTATATATAAACCGCCCTCCTCTTATTACTTAGCGGTTTTTTCCCTAGGACTAGATTCTATATAAAACCCTCTTTCGAGAGTCTCTAGATAGTCTAAAAAACTCTACTTTCCCCTCTAAGGTATTATTATTCCTAAGTAATATTTATAACTTCTTACCCCTAAGTCTTAACTAGGTTATTCTAGCCTTTTTATTATTAAGCTTTATTAACTAACTTTTATTTCTTTAACTTCGTAGCCTTTATTAGAGGGTAGGTAATAGCGCGAAGAGTTTTTCATATATAGTATACTCGAGTACTATATACGCTTTAAGGTTATTCATATATAAAGGACTATTTACCTAGATAGAAGCTACTTAGAATTAAGGAATTATACTAGTAAATAAGCTAGTAATTTGTCACGAATCACGTGCACACGTGACAAGTGAAGACCAGACGGCGTCATGACAAGCCGAGCACATATGGGCCTGGGAGCTTTATGTGTTCTGGGAAACCAAAGGGAGTTTTCTTATGTAAGCAGGAGCCGTTAATTGGTTGGATAATGTATATGGATGTATACCTTTACCAACATGTTGGTCACGTGATAGTCGACTGGTCGACTCGTCGACCTGTCGACCTGGTCGACAGAGTTGGTTGTCGACCAACATTCCTTAGTAAGTAGTATTCTGAGAACGAAGGTTCTATATAAGACTGGCACGTCTGCCATTTAGATAGGAGCTTCGTGCTCAACTTAGTTATCAATCTTATCATATTAGTTTGACATCTTTGATACAAGTAACGAGTTCACTTCCAAGTGAACAACCCGATAGTCTTCTTCTTATCATAGCATACCAACCAGCGAACACCCAGCCAAGTTTAGTTAGCCAGTTTGAGTATTCGTTACATAATTTACTATATTTTAGGCTAGATACTAGGATATCTAGAAAGTAAATATAAATACTACTATAATAAAAATACTACTATTTTCTAATAAATGTACTACTAGTTCTATGTTTATTAAACTTATACTCGAGTATACAACACCTATATTAAAAAAATAAGTAGTATAACTTATATGTAACTTACAATAAATCCTACAATATATATCGCTCCGAGTCTCGCGCATACTCCTCCTCAAGTCTAGCCCATATATCCCTACTCCTATTCTCAGTATCCCTATTCCTATTCCTAATAAACTCTGATTCAAGCATATTATACTCATCTTGCTCCTTCTTTTCCTCGTTATCTAGCCATGCTATAATCTCCTCATTTGTCCAGTCAGCTTTATTTGTAATAATAGTACCTGTAAG